AACCCCAAAACCCTAAATCCCTAAACACCAAAACCCTAAATCCCTAAACCCCAAAACCCTAAATCCCTAAACCCCAAAACCCTAAATCCTTAAACCCCAAAACCCCAAATCCCTAAACCCCAAAACCCTAAAGCGTATATCCTGTAGGGTTCGGGTTTAATGAACGCCTCGAGCGCCAGACCCGAAGCGATCAGGCGCCTGGAGGGAGCTCCAAGGAGGCCTGGGCAGAAGTCGTCAGTAACCTCACAGTGGGTATAGTAAACTCCAAAAAGTTGGAAACCGGATTAAGGACACATAGTGCTGGGATGCCTTAAACATTACTCTTAAGGATTGAGGCTATTGGGTTTCCAACTTTTAGGCTTCTACTATATAGGGTTTGGGGTTTAGGGGTTTGGGGTTAAGGGGTCAGGGGTTTAGGGGTTTGGGGTTAAGGGGTTTAGGGTTTAGGGGCTTAGGGTTTAGGGTTTAACGAAGTACTGGGGGCTTTGTGTTCAGGGTTGTTCCTCAAACTATGAATACTTGCACCCCTGGTTATTGAATTTAGGGTCCCCCACCGGAAAGAGCTACATGGTTTTTAGTCTTGAATGCTTGTGGGGCTTACAAGTTTTTTCGGTTTAGTATGTAGGAAAAGCGAAGATTTCAGGGGTGGGAAGAAGTACAAAAAAAAACGTACCACTGAAGTTGGTTCCCTAGCATACTTCTGCGACCTATATACTCAATTTCTAATTGTTGAACCCCTAGACCCTAAACCCCAAAAGAGGCGCCCTTTGTTGGCTTTTGGAGTTCGCCTCCCGAGCCTTCAATCCCGAAGTCGCTTGGTAGCTGAGTAGGTGCCCTTTAAACGGTTTTTGGGGAGGTTTTGCAATAATCCTACCATAATTGTATACTCTAAACCCTAAACCCTAAACCGTAACCCTAAACCCTGAACCCTGAACCCTAAACCCTAAACCGACACCCTAAACCGTTCACCTTTTAAAGGGGTCCTGAGCCCGGAAGTCTGGCTTCGGAGGGTTTGGAGTTTAGGGTTTAGGGATACTCTTGCCACCTAGTGTTTCAAACGTGTGCGGGGGTGTCTTTCTTTGGTGTGGTGTTTGGGGGTTGCAGTGAAACCCGGGTGTTTGGGATGCCGTAGAAGGAATAGGTGTTCCTGCTGTTCCTGCGACATCGGCAGGTCAACCCGGGGTACAAGGTGGTTCGGGCTTTGGGGGTTTAGGGTTCAGGGTTTGGTTTTGACTAATGTAGGGGCCTTAATAATTAGAACAGGGTTTTGGGGCCCAATATACTATTTTTTGGGGGGGCGACAGGCTCACTGTGTACTTTTGACAGGTACGGATCTGGCAGCAAAAAAAAAGCCGGTGCGATTATTGACAGTCGCGTCAGGTGGTGACTGCTGGCCTCCG